ACTAATTGGACATTGATAAGTGGAATGTTGTTCTATGGATACTATTTGTTTACACCGCCTTCTAGTCCCACGTGTATTTCTTGTTTTTTCTAAAACGCTCACTATAGGCGTAGGCATCGTTTTTTAGAGTCATTTCTTTGTGCAGTATCGTTCAAAAGTGCTTCATATGCTCGGATATGTGGTGTCTAGCAAGTTAAACGGTAGATGTATTTACTTTCCAGGTAGCCGTTCAAGCTCGCTATGGCCTTCGAGACCAATTACGTGAGTGTTAATTCTTAACACTGTAGTAGGCTAGAGGTCGCCGTTTCTTAGTGAGCACTGGGGAGGAGATCGATTACCCCATAGCAATGGGGCACTTTTCCCGTACACGCTCTCCTCATCTCCTCTTCAGTGCCGGAGTTTGGCAAATCCGCTTCGTATTCCCTTTATTTTTAGCCAATCCCCTACCGAAGCAAGCTGACCGAGCCGTTCGAGCCCGGCCAGACGCTTACCGTCAAAGGCAAAACAGGCGAGGATTCCGTCCGGTAGGTCAAGACTTCCAGCCTTCTTTTGCATTTTTACCCTAAGGATGTGTGTGAATGTGTAAGTAGTGGAATGTGGCGTATGTGTGAGCGTTCGAGCGGTGGCGATGGTGGTGGGTGTCAGGGTGGCGGAACCGGTATCGACGACATCGAGCCGTTGAGAGAGCACGGTGGCAGCGCAGAGACGGCAGCCGGCTGCCCGCTTTACACAGAACAGCAATTTGTTGCAATCTCTGAGCCAAAGTAAATAGAACGAAAGTTGCACGTATTCGTGTAGTGCAAGAATAAAGCTACATACGCTTTTGAACTGAGAGAATTGCAACAGCGCTTTGAAAATGGTGGATGTTCGGCAAGGTTCTTAGGTTATCCTATGAATGGATCCGATCTTTGCAGCTTCACCATCAACTTGCACAACGCTGCTGCCGACTTCTCCGGAAACGATGTTCCCCTTCATGTCAGCGTGCGCTTCGACGAGGGCAAGGTTCGTTAGCCTACCTTTTTTTCTTAGGTAAATCCCATCAAATTCTTTCTTGGCACATTTGAGAATCTATAGAAAAACTGCTGCACATCCAATCACCTCTTACAAGGTTCTAGTTATTTTTACAGCAGTGGAAAAAAGTTCAGGTTTTTGCTCTATTTTTATTTGTTTTTCTGAGCAGTTCTTGTTTGTAGAGATTTGCGATGATCTTTAGACACAGATCATCGCGCCTAGTCATAATATCCTTGGCGACCAAACACTCATTTGCTAGTGCAAAACTCCACCTTCCCTCAAAGTTTACACTGCGGTTGCCATTAAGAGCTCAAAAACCGATTTAAAACTCAGCGATCTCATAGTAC